TATATAAAAAAATAATCTGCCTGGGGAAATTGTAGTAAGATTCTCAAAGAGGCACGTCAGGGATGCTATCCTGAAAGCAGTTGCTGCGACACCCCTGAAGGTGGGGGAGAAGGCTGTCAGAATGCTAAAGGATATTCCATTTGAAGTAAGACAACGTAGAAAGAAATACAAAGAACTTGTGTTTTTCCTCCAAACAAACTCAATTGGATATAAATGGCTGTTTCCAGAAGGAGTAATATTCAAGATCAAGGAGAAGAAGGTCAAGATTGACTCTGTTCTTAAAGCTCAAGAGTTTCTAAAGGAGCAGCTGGGAAGGCCAGAGGACGAGAAAAAAGAAGAGGACGATAAGTCCAGTGGAGAGCTGGAAACTGGTTCGTCTGGTGAGGACTCTTTGTCTGAGCAGGGGGCATCAGCCCCGAAAAGTTCCTGCAAACTGCGGAAGAGAGAGAAGAAGAAGTAAATGCTGAAGGACTCTGAATTGTGGCTTTGAGAACTTTGGTTCTAGGGGATGATGGGGGGCACTGTTATTGGGCAATTAAATGTAAACGGGGATGGTTAAAAGGGTTAAAAGATTGACACAGTTCATAAGAAGTACAAAGATGAAAAGTCTGAATGAAGTATAAAAAGCTAGTTGGAGATCTCCTCTCTTGGGTTTTTAGTTAGTAGTGGGTTCTTTACTTTCTCCCTTATATGTAGCTTTCCCTTTCCCTTTTTTCTGTTCTAGTTTTTGTGGTGTTTAAAAAATCAATAAAAAATCCCCTCCGGGGGCTTTAAAAAAAAAAAAGGGAAGGGAAAGAACCATCATAGTTTGTTGTTGGAAGAAAGGCCAGCCACATCTCTAATTTGCTAAATTCCTCACACTACCCATTAACTTTTCTAACACAGATGCTGTCATCTTTATACTGCACCTTTTAAGTTATTGATCAAAACTTTGCACAGTCGCAGTAAAGGGCTTCAGGCACCTAGTCAGCCCAGTCAGCAGACAGTTCTTAGCAAGGGTAAGCTTCCACTGAATCGTGGCAGGAGCACCCTGAGAGAACACTAAAAATCCAAAATGCAGCTACTCCCATCTGTAGTAAATGTCCTTTTAGGAGAAAGGTCTGAAATATACAGGATAGGGAACAAGTTTTATTTATGGTGCCTGTTTTCTTACAGTGTAGACACAAAAACCTTTGAGAAAAACAACACTGGAGCCTTATGCTTTATAGGACTCTCCTGTGCTTGAATATGGATAGCTTTCTTGGCTTACACTAGATCAGCCCTAAAAAGGGGAGCTCAGGGAAAAAATGGTTTCCTTGATTGGATTAACTTACTCTCCCTGTTGTGTCAAGCTTTTGAAGATGCATTTCCTCCAGCAAACGCTTGGGAGTCTTGCTGAGCTATTGATCAGGTAGTCATCAGAGCAGGAGTTTACACAGATGAAATGGGCAGCTTGGCTCATAACGGTGGAGGGGAAAAACCCTGCTACTTATAATGGCCAGTGGATCCAGAATAGATAATGGAAACGGGGTGCTTCAGTGGGAAAAGAGCCATAGCTTGAATTGGGGTGTGTGTGTGGTTTTTTTTCAAATGCTGTACATCAACGGCTTGAAATTGGATTTCTTTGGATCAAGTGAGCAGTGAATGAGACAGCAGACTCTGCTTAAGGGATTTGTAACTTCAAAATAGTTGGCCAGAACAATAAAAGGGGAAAATACAGTTTTGAATAACTGCCGAGTCATGCGTGGAGTTGGGGCTGCAGGGTGGGGAGGGTTGGGGTTGACACAGTTTTAAGATCACTTCTCCTCTCTCCTTTCATGCAGGAAGCGTTGTGAAGGAATAGTAGGCTGGTGCTTTTGTAGATCAAACTGTGCTTTTTGAGGAAGGTGTTTTAAGGAAACATTACCAGTTCTCACTAGTGGCGCTTACACCGGGTTTTTGCATCCTCCCTCCCACCCACCCCTCGTCTGCGGGTTGAATGAAAGGTCTGTGTTGACTAGAATTTTCCATTAGATTTTAAAAGGATGTTTTTTCTGTTTTTACACTATAACCGCATTTGCAAGCCACTCAGTAGGTGTAATGGCATTTGTAGTGCCTCCTGTATACTTGGGCTGAAGAAGGCCATTGCACTGAGTTAGTCATCCCGCTTCCCTCCCTGACACTCAGTACTTGAGTGCCAGATCAGACAAGTAGCCATGTTAACTAGACTGTAGTGGCAAAAAACCAAATCTTTGTGCATGGCAGGAGCTGATCTCCTCCTGAGTGCAAAAGATGCACACATCTTTTAAACGGCTGACCTGCATTATATCACAGGTGCATCCTTCAAGATGCACACAAGCAGAAGAGCCCTGGATCTCTTGTTCATATTTATTTTAAGGCAAGCCTCATTGTTTATGTATATGGGCATAATTTATAAATGATGTTATAAAAGAAATAGGTCCTTGAGAACAAAATGCCCAAAAGTGTTCATGGCTGGAACTAGCTTATTCTTGGCACTGTGGATGTGATGCCTGCCTCAGTGGGGGAACCCCTTGTAAATAGTTTTGAGGTTTAATAGATGACTAATGGGGCCAACTGTGGCTTGGTGGTGGGGCATTTGCCTGGCATACAGAAGGTCCCAGGTTCAATCCCTGGCATCTCCAGTTAAAATAATTGAGTGGTAGGGGCTGCTACAAAACCTTTGCCAAGTCTTCTGCCGAAGAGCTACTGCCAGTGCAAAGTAGGCAGTGCTTGCCTTGATAGACCAAGGTTTCATGTCTTCAGATTTAAACTTGTTGGCCTTTAAAGACAAAGAAGAAGAGATTGGATTTATACCCCGCCCTTCGCAACCCAAAGGTGTCTCAGAGCAGCTTACAAACTCTTTTCCCTTCCCCTTCCCACAACAGACACCCTGTGAGGTAAAGTACCACAAGGCTCACCTCGAGCCAGACATCCTGGAATGTGAAGTTAAATGGGCCTTAGAAAGCATTACTAACAACAAAGCTAGTGGAGGTGATGGTATCCCAGCTGAGCTATTCAAAGTCTTAGAAGATGATGCTGTTAAAGTGCTGCACTCCATTTGCCAGCAAATTTGGAAAATGCAACAGTGGCCACAGGATTGGAAAAGGTCAGTATACATTCCAATCCCAAAGAAGGGCAATGCCAAGGAATGTTCAAACTATCGCACAATTGCACTCATATCACACACTAGCAAGGTCATGCTCAAGATCCTACAAGCTAGGCTTCAACAGTACGTGGATAGAGAACTGCCAGAAGTACAAGCTGGGTTTCGAAGAGGTAGAGGAACTAGAGATCAAATTGCCAACATTCGCTGGATTATGGAAGAAAGCAAGAGAGTACCAGAAAAACATCTACTTCTGCTTCATTAACAATGCTAAAGCTTTTGACTGTGTGGATCACAACAAACTATGGCAGGTCCTTAAAGAAATGGGAGTACCAGACCACCTCACATGTCTCTTGAGAAACCTGTATAAGGGCCAAGAAGCGACAGTTAAAACCGAATATGGAACAACTGATTGGCTTCGCATAGGAAAAGGAGTATGAGAAGGATGTATATTGTCACCTTGCTTATTTAATATATATGCAGAGTACATCATGCGAAATGCTGGCCTGGATGAATCACAAGCGGGAATTAAGATTGCTGGGGAAAAGATCAACAACCTCAGATATGCAGATGATACCACTCTAATGGCTGAAAGTGAAAAGGATCTAAAGAGCCTCTTGCTCAGAGTAAAAGAGGAGAGCGCAAAAGTGGGCTTGAAGCTCAACATCAAAAAAACTAAGATCATGGCATCCGGCCCCATCACTCCTTGGCAAATAGAAGGGGAAGTCGTGGAAGTAGTGACAGACTTCACATGCCTGGGATCTCAGATCACCGCAGACTGTGACAGCAGCCATGAAATTAAAAGACGCCTGCTCCTTGGGAGGAAAGCGATGGCGAACCTAAACAGCATGATAAAAAGTAGAGACATCACCCTGCCAACAAAAGTCCGCATGGTCAAAGCAATGGTATTCCCAGTAGTCATGTATGGCTGCGAGAGTTGGACTATAAGGAAGGCCGAGCGCCGAAGAATAGATTCTTTTGAACTATGGTGCTGGAGAAGACTCTTGAGAGTCCCTTGGACTGCAAGAAGAACAAATCAGTCAATCCTCAAAGAAATCAACCCTGACTGTTCCCTGGAAGGCCAGATAATGAAACTGAAGCTCAAATACTTTGGCCACCAAATGAGAAGGGAGCACTCACTGGAGAAGACCCTGATGCTGGGAAAGATTGAAGGTCAAAGAAGACGGGGACGGCAAAGGATGAGATGGTTAGACAGTGTCA